GGCCTCGCGCCTGCGACTCGGGGTTCCCGCCTGGCGCGTCGGGGACCAGGCACAGCAGCCCGCGGCCTCCCCGTGGCCCCAGGGACGCCAGCCTCCAGGAGCCCCAGAGCCTTCCTGCCCTCCTCGGGTCGGGGCCGCACAGTACCCCAATCTTCCAGCGGTGCCCACGTCCCTCGGTGCCGCCTCTGGGCACCACCACAAGGAGGCAGGGGCCGCATGTCCTCTCCCCGGGGGTCGTTCTCAGAAGGAGCCCAGGGGCACCCACCTCATCCTGTGGACTACGCCAAGTTGCGGGGGGCTGCAAGGGGTGTTTGGAGGCGAGTCCCCAGCAGGTGCATTCTGCTGGATCGTCCTTACATAAGGTCACCGTCACGCTCACGCAGGCTGGTCAGGGTCATGGACGGGACACGGAGCCTCCCAGCCCTTACCGGTCACACCTGACAGGTGGGGGACAGTGAGGACCGGGAGTGGCAGAGCTGGGGAGAGCCACAGGGGCCCCTGCCCTGGGGCCCTGTGACAGCATGGACAGGGCTGGGCTGACAGCTGAGGAGATGGGAGAGGGGCAGGGTGCTGAGGCCCAGGCTCCCCGCCACACCCGAGCCTGCTTCCCCGTGGAGGGTGAAGTCAGAGGCTCTTCCTCGCACCCTCACAATGGGCTTAGGACTCTCCCAAGAGGCAAAGACAGCTTCAGGAGATTGGTAAGGGAGAGGGTAAGAGAGAAACAAAGGTGGGACGATCCTCAAAGCTGGGGACACTTTAGGTAACCCGGGACAGACTATTAGACTTCTAAGACAGGTGAGCAAAAAGCAGGACTGGATCCATCTTCTCCGGAAGAGCCCTGTGAGCGAGACAGCCAGCCACTGGGGGCCGCTGAGGCAGGCCTTTGGGAAGGGGGGAGAGGGGCCACAGAAATGGCCTCCTGGGGCCCTGCTAACCCAGCATGAGCTCCACTCTGGGACAACACCCAGAGCAGAGGTTCTCAAAATATTGAAACACAGATCAGCTCCATCGAAATCACCTGGCAGCGTTTGTGACGACACCCTTTCCACCCTCCGCCCACAATTCAGCGTCAGGTGCCAGAGATCCGCACTGGTGTCTAAAAAGCACCCCCCAGTTCTCCTCAGACCTGCAAAAAAACCACTGTGAGCCTGGGGGCTTGTCAAACATGACACGCCTCAGGAACCCTGGGCGAGCAATCACAGATGTCCAGCCACCTTGCCCGCTTTAATCCCCCTCCCCACAGCCCACAGCGCCAGGCCAGCACGCAGACGTGTTTGCCTCTATCTTAGTTTGAGCTGAGCAGCGTTTCCTGTGCCTTGGGCCTCATCAGCACGGTGGTGGAGTTGCTTCCTGTCACTGACTCTCTGTTTCCATTCTGGCCAAGTGTTGATTTGCTCTTTTCTCTCTGCTTTGGGGGTTGGGGAGGATGAGCTGCTCGCAGAGCTTCTCTCGGGCCTCTTGGCACTTTCCACCTCTGTGCCCCTGGCTCTTCCACCGGGGGCCAGGGCCTGCGGCTTCCACCTGAGCCGGGCCCCAGGGTCACCGCACCCGGGTGAGCTCTGCCCTCCTGCAGCGGGCGTTGCAGCCACATCCAGGTAGAACCAAACCTGTCGCTTTTGTATTTTGGGTAACAGCCTGACATTTCAGGGGTAGACACAAGGTAGGGAGTTTGTTGGGGAAAGAAAATTCTAGAAAGAAAGATTTGAAGTTTAAAAACCAATAGACATTTTGTGTGTGGGCGGGGGGCCCTTTGGTGAATAAAGATTTAAGAAGAAATTTTGAGAGTAAAAAATTGTGTGTTAGGGAGTGTTTGGAAGACGTGGAGACAAGGAGGATTTCTGTCATTCTTATCTACTTTTAAAAAAAAAAGTGGTTCTACCACACAGGATTATATGTAAAATGCAAACTAATTTTCCTTTTCTCCTGGGAGTCAGCAACTTAGGAAAAGTGGCAAACATCCTGTGACCATGGATGTCATCACCCCGACCCTTTCAGAAATCAGAGGGAGGACTCCGGAGCCCAGCACCCTGAAGGTGACGCTCAGCAGGCTGGACGGGTGAGTGGCTCAGGGTAGTGGACAGTCACGGAGAACACTGGCCTACCCTGGGGGGCTTCCAACCCAGCAGGGCTGCCATCCTTACAACGAGGCCCAGGCCCGCTGAGACCACCAGACTTGAGGCTCAGGGAATTTTGCTCTGAGAGGAAAGGAATAGGTGTTAAGGAATAAAAGGAGTCATTGGGGGAGAGGAAAAGCTGTGATAACACAGGATTTTCTTAGAGCTAACTGCCTGGCCTGGTTGAATTTCTCACTCCTCAGAGGCCCTGATCACTGTCCTCAATCTTTCCTATCTCAGGTCCCACCAACGGCTCCTCAAAAAAGTACTAGGTCCCAGCATGATAAAAACAAAAGGCTCACTTCCCAAAGATGTATTTTAGGTCTTAAAAACTTGCCATGAATGAAACATGTAATCATAGATATGATAAAGATGTGTTTAAGGCCCTGGCCGGTTTGCCCAGTGGTTAGAGCATCGGCCCGTGGACTGAAGGGTCCCGGGTTCAATTCTGGCCAAGGGCACGTACCTTGGCTGCAGGCTCGATCCCCGCCCCCAGTCGGGTGCATGGGGAAGGNTGGACTGAAGGGTCCCGGGTTCAATTCCGGCCAAGGGCACGTACCTTGGCTGCAGGCTCGATCCCCGCCCCCAGTCGGGTGCATGGGGAAGGCAACCAATCCATGCGTCTCTCTCACATCGCTGTTTCTCTCTCTCTCTTTCACTCTCTCTGCAGAAGCAATGAAAAACATATCCTCAGGTGAGAATTAAAAAAAAAAAAAAAGGTATGCTTCAGGACATAAAATCTCACAGAACTAATCACAGATATCAATTATATGCTTTACCTTTACTTTCCATGTCTTCCTGACAAAAATAAAAGTTCATCAGCAGTCAGAACTTTAGCAACACTGGCAGGTATAAATTTCGGTGCTATGGCAACGGTACAACTCAATAATAATGAATTTAAAATTGCTGCAGTTCGGGGAAATAAATGTTATCATGACAAACATGTGTCACTTGCAGGTGGACAGGGAGGGGCATTGATGGGGAATGAATTCATAAAGTCAGAACCCTGGATTTCCACCCCTCCAAAAAAAAAGATTTCTGTATTCATTAATTTGTTTATTAATTCACTTACTCATTCATTTAACAAATGTCTGTCAGGCCCTTACTGTTCCAGGCACCAGGCGAACGTGATAGACAAGTCCATGACCTCCTGGAGCTTACGGTCAAGTGGGAGAGTCAAATACAAGCAGATAAACAAATGAATGTATAATTTAATGTCCGTCATAAACTCTATGAAGAAAAACCAGAGCAGAGTAAGGGAACTGAGAATAAGGTGTGGCCAGGAGGTGACATTTCAGAAGAGGCCTGAATTAAATGAGGGACTGAGCCTTGCAGGCAGTCGGGGGAGAGCGCAGCAGGTCTGAGACAGCGCTGTGCTGAGCGCGGGCAAGGAACAGGAGTCCTGGCAGAGTCGGGAGGCGCAGGAAGAGGCCAGCGCAGCGGGCGCTGTGAAGGGCTCACTGGGTTGGGACTGTGGATGTCATCCCAGGTGTGATGGGAAGTCACGGAGGGTTGGGAGCAGAGGATGACACAGTCTGATTTACTGTTTGGAGGATCAGGCTGGCTCATGTGTAAAGCTGGTATATTGGGGCGACGGGTAAAATCAAGACGACCCATTAGGAAGGTTATTGCAAAGGCCCGTGTGGAACACACTGCAGCTTAGGCCAGGTGGTGGCAAAGGAGCGGAGAGAGGTAACTGGGTTCGGGAGAGATGCCCAGGGTTGAGCAGCAGAATCTGCTGGCTGACCAGGAGTGGGACATGAGAGAAAGAGAACACCCAAGGAGGATTTTATTTTATTTTGAAAAGAAGAAAGCAAGAATTTTACTGTAGCAAAAATGTATTTAGGACAATGAAACGAAGAAGGGCATAGAAGCAACAGGAGAGCCGAGGCTGGGCTGCTGTGGCTCCCTGGGAAGTCAGAGAGAAGGGGGGCCTTGGAGACAGGTTCAGTGGGTTAGCCCGGGGCGAGCTGCTGCTGCCCATCGCTCCCCTGGCTGCAAGTCGCATGGGTTAGGGGATATGTGCCCGTGGGGGAAGGAGGGGGAGGGAATGGCACAGGCATGCTCCCTGGAGGGAGAGCACCAGCACATTGGGACCTTCATTTTCAGGGGTTTTAAAGGCTGGTCTAGGCCCCGGCCAGGTAGCTCAGCTGGTTAGAGCATCATCCTGATAAGCGAAGGTTGTGGGTTCAATCTCCGGTCAGGGCACATACAAGAATCAGCCAATGAATACATTAATAAGTGGAACAACAAATCTACGTTTCTCTTTCTCGCCCTTCCTCCCTCTCTAATCAATCAATAAATAAAACATTTAAAAAAATAAAACAAAGGCTGGGCATTTAGGGGAGGTCTTAGAGCAATAGAATATTCATCAGCTTTAGGCTGCCATACCAAAATGAGATTTATTCTCTCAATTTGTCTGTCCTTGGGTGGGATTGGCCAGTGGCACTAACTGGATTTCTGCTATCTGTGAGTAGGGTGATTTAAGCTATTTACCCTCCGGTTGGGAAAGGAGAAGTGGAAACCATTTACTCTCAAGTGTCCTTGGTTTAGGGAAGATAGGATTTACTAGGTAGCTGCAAAATGCTATTTAACTATCTGTCTCAGTTTCTCTGTTCTGCTTGTGCTGGAATTTTCCTAGCAATAACATTCCTCCCTCAGAGATTTCCACCCCTAAAATCTTTTAGGGTTGATGAGGGAGGATGGTCTGTTTTCAGTAACTACTTCCTGCTGATAATGGTCTTGGTCCTTGCCTAGTGAGGGTATGGAAGTCTCTGTCCCTGCCTGATCTAAGGGAGACAAGGGAATGGGATTTGAGACTGCAATAGAGTTGCACTTCAGGAGATGGTGATGTAGATAGATCTATATTGTATAAACAACTAATTAGGTAATAAGGAGTATGCCTATGCAAACAGAAAGGAAAAAACAAAGATTAATGATCATAGCAAATTATAAACCAGTTTCTGAGTCTGTAAGACTGTCAGTCGAGAAGGCTTAAAGTTTCTTTTGCTGGAATGAAAGCAAACAGTGACAATTTGATAGCATCAGATGCTCAGGTAAATTCTGTATGGTTGACATTGCATCAACAGTTCTTAATAATTCCAAGTCAACGCATGGGAGAAAAATGAAACATTAGCTTGGAGGCTTGATGACAACTAGAAGAATTCAGGAATCAGTTCAGTTTATAGGCAAAAATGAAACTTTAAAGACAGTGAACTGCACTAAAGTCCAGTATCCACAATTGGGCGTTGCGATTTCCATGAAACAATTTTTCTCCCTGAAATCACATTCAATTTTATTAAAGAGCCAAATTAAGGACTAATTTATTTACTTTATTAAGTTTAGTTTTAATTTGGCCTAATTATTTGCATAAATGCAGTAAGAATAGCAATTGATTACATAGGCTTTTTAAAATCTGCTTTGCTGGAATTTCATTCATAAGAAATCTTCAGATTGAGCTTTAGCCAGCCCCTTGGGGTGCAGAAGCCAAGCCACACAGTTGCTATCTGAATTTGCCTGCAATGCCTATAGATTTGGGTGGATTCCTCACATTCTTGAGGTCCCCAAAATGTCCTGAGTTTCTTTCTTTGCCATCTTCAGGATAGCAACCTTTGTTCCTTACCTGGAAAGACTGCCATGAACTGTGTGAACAAGCAAGGTACCAGGCCATTTTTTTCAAGGGGCATTTATGGGCTTCAAAGTCAATCTCAATTATTTAAGTCTTTCCGGTGACAGCCAGAGTCCAGGAATTTCTCTCTTGATCATGACATTCCAGTCAAAGAATGGATGGTTTTATGCGTAAAGAGAACAGATTCTTATTGGATTTATGCAAACAAATGAATTGTAATGCAAATAATATTCACTCCTTGAGAGTTGTCAAATTCTGGAGGGATTCGGTAGGGAGAAATATATAAATGTCTCGATATTGTTTATGAGGATATAATTTACCATATTGTTCTAGGGAAATAAAAACAAGCTTAACCAAGGAGTAAGTAACCAGCATTCCTTAGATTGATGTTGGTGAACACATTTCATGACCTTTAGAAACATAGGTTCCTTTCATGGCAAACACACTCACTTTCAAGCAACTACCTCCAAAAAGCACAAGACATTCATCGGCTCCAAATCTACTTACAGACTTTCTGCAATAAAAAGCCAAAAGCAAGCAAACTTAAGACTTTTCTAGCAATCAATGTTTAACAGCTGAAGTGAGTTAGTTCATCTGCTCAAATGGCTAAAGTGGAGGGTTTTTTCTTTTAATGAGGATTACCTTCCAGAAACTTGCATCCTAAAAGATGGCCCAGCTAGCCCTGGCTGGTTTGGTTGAATGGTTAGAGCACTGGCTCATGGACTGAAGGGTCCCGGGTTTGCTTCTGGACAAGAATACACCTCTCGGTTGTAGGCTTAGTCCTGGGTCCCAGTCCAGGCTCATGCGGCGGGGGTGGGGACACACACGGGACAGGACCAATTGATGTGTCTCTCTCACATCCACGTTTCTCTCTCACTCTCTCTGAAAAACAATGGAAAAAATATCCTCAGGTAAGGATTGAAAAAAGTTAAAAATAAATAAGTAAAAGATGGCTCAGCTAAGAGTTTTTTCAGGTATTTGTATCTCAAAGGTACAGGGAAAGAGATGCAAGCTCCTCCTAGAAGGACATTGGTTTCATAAAGCCAGTTATTTATAAGCATTTCTGAACCCATTAGAGGAGGTTTTGAGGAAGGTAAAAGATTTAGTGGATTTTGAGTTGTTTCTGGAGCCACACTTCTGGCCCTGTGAAGACTTCATTTGTAAAACAAGGACAATTTTTCAATGCCTCAACAATTGGCCTGTCACCCAAATGTTGGCAATGGACTGACAAATTCATCTATCCATTTTTAGAATGTTTCTTTCCACTTGGGTACATTTTTTCTAGTTTACAGACAGCACATAGCTTAGGGTAGCCTCTTAGAGCCATAAAGTCTTAGATATATGGAACTTCTGTCCATTTCTCCTAGTTGGAAGGGAACAGGTTCTGATTTTAAGTCAGATATTGATTAAATATTTCTGCCATTGGTACAGAAGCTTTACACTGAAGGAGGAGGCAACTTAGGTTAGGTGTGGTTAGAAATAGGGGAAGTAGTCCCAGTAGCTATAATGGCCTTAATGGCTTCCCTTCTTATGATAATTTTAACTTCTCCCAAACTGTTGAGAAGGGGAAACACCCTTGGAGCAACTCTATGCTTGCTTCTGGTTTCTTTTCTCTTCCTAAGTCCCATTTTGGTTTTCTACAATTCTTTTTAAGGTGACCTGGCTTTCTACAATAGAAACAAACTCCTCTACAGTCTCCTACCAGACCCCATTTAGCAATTCTGTTGCCTTGCTCTCAGAAACCAGTAGGTGTAGGTGGGGGAACTTTGTGGGCCTTTAGGCAGGGTTCAAAGATAAGTCTTTGTTTGGCTGTAATACAGTCAGGGTAGTCAATTTACATTTCCAGAGGAGATCCTCCTGTTCATGTAATATGAAAAAATGTCCGAACCTAAGGTATTTCTGACCATTTGCTCTGTTGCTTGAAGAGAGTTAATAAAAAGATGCTATTGTGAGTAATGCTCCTGTTTTGAGGCCATAACTCCCCATCAGGGAGCTTATATTGTGGCCAGACTGAATTACAATAGAAAATGTCTTTTCTTTTTAAGGTCTGGGGTTCAAATTGTGCCCAGTTAGCCAAAATCCAGGCCAGGGGGACTCCTGTCTGGCATAGAAGGTTGATTCCCCATCTGGAGGTTAGGAATTAGAGAGCCCAGGATCCTAGGGTCAATCCCAGAGACCTAGGGTCCCAGCGCTGAAAGGCCAGCTTCTGATGGCACAGCCATCTAGCGGGGTGAGACACAGAGGGTACCCCGTGATCTCACCATAATCCCAGGTTAGGAATTAGAGAGCCCAGCATCCTGGGGTCACTTCCAGAGCCTGGCTTCAGAGCGCTCAGGGGCTAGAGTCTGAAGTCTCAGGGGTCTAGGGGGATGAGACCATGTAATCTCACCATAATCTCAGAGGATGGGAAGTCAAGTTTTACCAGGTGACGAGTGTCTTCGCAGACCTGGTTGGGGTGGGATATGCCTAGGAATCTGGGAGCAGGCAAGTCTGCTCAACTAAGGAAAAGGGGCAGAAAAGAAAAATAGAGCTAGTGTGTCCAGAGGATAGATAATAGGGTAAAGGGGTTTTATAGATCGAGGAGAGTTTTTCTAAAAGGTTCTTAATGTAAACAATGTAGGAGCCAGTAAAGGGAAGGACTGAAGGTTTGAGGTAATTTTAGGGAGCCCTCATTTTTGGTCCTCAGAAAGCAATTCTAATTGAAAAGCCAAAGTTAAAAACCAGCCATCTTTTTTTTTTTTTTTTTCTGTCCTGTTATCTTAACCCTAGAGTCTCTCAACCCTTAATCTTTAGCTCTACCTCCAGGATTTAAAAAAAAAAAAACAAAAGCTCAAAGAAAGCCTGAATTTAACTCCAAACAAATGTTCCAAGGTGCCTGCACAGTACGGCAATCTGCGGAGAGAAAAAGCCCCATGGCCAGAGGAAAAGCTGCAGGGAGGAAAGAGAACAGTCAGTCATGTCCTTCAAGCCACGGTGGCAAGGGTGATTGGTGATAAAACAATCTTAGTCACAGCACCAAATACATTTTACTGGGGAGATGGGGAGACCTCGGTTCTTGTCTTCTTGAGGGAAAGATTTCAATCAAGAGACCAAGTGCAGAAAAGAAAGCAAGAATTTACTGACTGCAGCAAAAATATACTTAAGCCAATAAAACAAGGAAGGGCACAGAAGCAACAGGAGAGCCGAGGCTGGGCTGCTGCGGCTCGCTGGGAAGTCAGGGAGAAGGGGGGCCTTGGAGACAGGTTCGGGGGTTAGCCCGGGGCGAGCTGCTGCTGCCCACTGCTCCCCTGGCTGCAAGTCTCATGGGGTCCCTGAGGTTAGGGGACACATGCCTGTGGGGGAAGAGAAGGCATGGGCATGCTGCCTAGAGGGAGAGCGCCCAAGGGTGATTTTAGGTGGAGCTACTGGATGGTGGGAAACACCAGAGGAGGAGCGGGCTTATGGGAGAAGGGAGCTCTGTGCAGACAGATTTGGTTTGAGGTGTTAGGCAGCCTCGTGGAAATGACCAGGATAGAGTCGGATAGACAAGCCTAGAACTCAGGAGGAGGAAAACCTTCCCTGGCAGATGGCCTGGCTTCTGACAGCTGGGGGTCGCGGGTCTGCCAGTGATTCCTTCGGTGACCTCGGCTGGCTGCCCGCTGCCACCGCAGGCAATGAAGAGCAGCGGCCCCGTCGCCGCAGGGAAGTTGAAACTTGCACCGAACTTGCTCAGTGCATTGGCGTTGGTTCAATTCCACAGAACAGAGCGTTGCTTGGGGACCAGCTCCGCAAGTTGGTGCTGAGAAGGTTATTCAAGTGCACACAAGCTGGCCTCCGTCACAGAGCCACTCCCCAGTTGTAAATCGGCTAATCCTTTCCTCCTCCAAAGAGGAAGCCCGGGAGTGGGAACGGGGAAGCGAGGACAGATGAACCTGCCTTCCCAAGTCTGGAGGCCGGTGTGAGGCAGTGGAAAGAGCATGATCTTTGGGCCCAAAGAGCCCTTGACTGGCTTTCCATCTTGGATCCTTCCTACCTGTGTGATCTTTGATAGATTACTTTCCCCTTCGGAATCTAAATCTCAGGTTTCTTGGCCGCAGAGAGGCAGGATTGTTGTAAAGATTAAATAAGTTTCACAGGCAAACCCCTGGCATCCAGTGAGCATTCACATGGGTTAGTTCCTTGTCCTGTGTCCAATTTCCTTCTGTCCACGAAGAGGTGACCCTCTGCCACCACGCAGCCCACCCCAGCCGGCCTTCCTTCACCGGGCTCCCACTCCAAATCCTCGGGCTCTAACTCCTGAGGGAAGCATCTTCTTCAGCCCCACCCCCGGCTGGGGCATGGCACTCCGTTTTCCTCACAGAGATCAAGACCAGAGCAGCAGCATCTTTTCTGGGTTTGCGGGACTCCTTGCCGTCCTCCTGGCCGCCGCAGCTCTCTGCGCCCTGTGGAACTGGAGTAAACGGAAGAAGCGTGAGTCCCCTGTTTGTCCAAAGTTGAGACACACTAGGACCAATAAGCCAGCCTGGCATTTAAAGCCCAGTTTATTCCCCAGGGATAAACTATTTCACAGGGAGTCCTCTGTTCTTACCCAACACACTGATCCTTGTCTCCCGCAAGATCCCAGGCTGTGGCTCCGAAAGGCTTTGTGCTGATTGGAGAGCCATCTGGATCTAGTACCCCTGGGCCCTGGCTTTCTCCTCCTGCTCTATCCACGGAGTCCCCTGTCCTTATAGCTCAGATTTGTTAAGAATGAAAATGTATTTTTTATGGTGCAGGGTGAGGGTGGGGAATACTTTCAGGGAGCATCTCATCCCCAGGATTCCCCTTCTGTGTCGTTGCCCTGCAGGGCGAGTTCCTTACCTGCACTTGCTGACTCTGCCTCCATCCAGACGTCGAGCCAGTAATATCTATGACCTCTTGCCCCGGAGACAAGAAGTGCTAGGTGGGTCTTTCTAATCTGTGGAGTCAACATGCAGAACTTCTGCCCCCAGAAGGCACCTCTCACCACCTGGAAGCAACTTTCTCTAAGCTTCCAGCACCTTCTGCCCTTCAGGGAGCATAGAAAAAAAAGGGCTAGATAACTGTAAGATGCAACTCCATTGGGGGGGGGGGTTAGAAAGCTCTAAAAAGGGAGCAGGGGGTTGTCTAGGTTTGGGGTTTTGGTTTTTCCTGACATTAAGGTAGCAGAAGACATATGGGTGTGTCTAGGGGTGGGGCAGATATTCCAAAGAATGAAGGATGGGGCCGTCAGCATTACTGCAGGGAGGGCTCACCCAGGAGCTCCCTTCCCAGCCTCCCACCCCTGTGCTACTCTTCTCAGGTCCCACAGAAGCTGAGGAGGCTCCAGGTCTCAGAGCACATCATCTTCATAGTTCTGAGCCTCTCACCACAGAATACCAGCCCCCAGACACCAGACACCACGCAGCCCCACTGCACCCACGATGCAGGGAGTGTGCAGGCTGAAGCTGGGACTGGCTGTCTCAGGCTTTGTTCTCTGTCCTTCCAGGGAGACATCAGGTGAGGAGTACCCTTATGTTCAGTGTCGAGAGCCTCCTCTCCAGAAACTCGGACAGCCCTTCCTCCGGCAACGTGGTAAGAGGAGCGTGCATGACCTGCCCCTTGGGAGAAATTATTTGTCTCTGGCGGAACTGAGGTGAAAGAGTTGGAGGTCACAGATCTGTGTCACTGCAGACAAACAGTGGGTCCTTTGGCACTCACCCTTATAGGCCCATTAATAAATCAGGAAGACTAGCCTCAGGACCTCCCGCTGCCCAAGGAGAGGAAGTAAGAAAGCTAGGAACCAGTGCTTGGGATGCTAAGAAGGACACCAGGGCACGAGTCCTCCAGGACACGTTAGAATTGCAATGGGTGGTTTTAACAAAGACACGGTAACCTGCTTGTTCAAATGAGCGGGGTCCTCTTCAAAGCAGTTGCCTCAGGAGGGTCGCAGATGCTCCAACATCGCTGTTGGTGCTCAGAACAGACTTAAAACCCTGCTTTGGGACTTACTTCTGGGGCTTGTACCAAATTATTTTAATTATCATTAACAGCAGAAATAGTCATAAATCATTGAGCGCTGTAGCTAGTGTGGAAAGCGTTTGATCAAATGCGGGCTTCCCTTTGAGGTGCAAGGAGAGAATTACAGCTCGGAACTGGCCCCATGTGGCTGGTGCTGTGGCTGAGGGTAGCTCCCAGGAGTCCCTCACGGTGCAGGGCAGAGGCACAGGGACAGTCAAGGGACTGCTTCGGAGATCAGGGTGCTCGTTTCCATAGGGAAGTTCTTGTTTGCTCGTTTGGTTTTATGGTGATCCCGAGTAAATGCAGTGTGCTGATGGTGTTTCTGTCATTACCCGGCCTCTCGCTACCACGTGGCTACCTCCGTATTGCCACCTCTGCTCCCTCCTCCTGCAGGTCCCATCCTTGGACTCCACTGACGCAGGGCAGGGCAGAGAAAACTCCGTTGCCAAAGCTAGTTCCGGGACTTGGGTGGGTCCTCGGGGGATTCTGCAATGAATCCCCTGACTTCAGCCCACAAATATGGTTAGTTTGGACTCTGTAGTGTTTGAAGAATATTTCAGCCAGTTGCCAACTCTTAAAAATCTAAAAGATCTCACATTAAAGTCCAGATGTCCAGCTTTTCTTGAAAATTCAGAAGTTCTGGAAACATCAGACCAGCATCCCCAAATGGCCATAATCAGTTGAGTCTGTGTCAACTGCCCCTTCAGTAATTATGGCGAGCACTTCAGGGTTTTCTGTGTGCCAGGAGCAATTCTAAACACTTCCCCTTGTAATCCGTTCACTCCTCACAGAAACCTTATAATGTAGGTTCTATAATTATCCCCATTTTATAAGTTAGGAAACGAAGGCATGAAGAGGTTTGGTAACTTGCTCAAACCCAGCAGAGCGGTGAGGCCAGGATCTGCACCCCGTCTGAGTCACTATGCTAGATTGCCCCTCAGTGTGCTCCTCCCTCCTCCCCTCCCCATCGAACCCTCACACTGGGGCCAAAACACAGTTACTATTTACCGTCACATTACACGGTTGCTTTCCCTAAACTCAGCCCATTTTGCTCACACCCGCCTAGCATCCAAAGCCTGAGACCCCTGGTGCAGAGCCATTCCCCAAGGTGGAGAACTGAGTGGAAGAATGAGAGAAGGGTGCTGGGGGGGAGAGGAAAGGCTTCCCCCATGTCTCCTTCCGTCCTCTCTGGCTGTCTCCTCTCGCTCACAGACCTCCCAAGCAGGCGACGCCCTCCAGGTGCACAGAGCCCAGCCGCTGGCTGTGGGCATCTATGACAATGCCGCCGGGCCCGGGATGTGTGGGGACCTCACCCCCTCAGCACACTGCGTCGGTGTCAGAATGGCTGGAGACTACTCCAGCATTTCTTCAGAGGGCTCCAGGGAGTATGTCAACGTCCCCACAGCAGAGGAAATTGCTGAGACTCTCGCTTCTACCAACAACCCCGCTGGGGACCTCTTTGTGCTCCCAAGTGCTCAGGAGCGGGGATTTACTGAGGGAGACGAGGGCTGTGGCCATGCCAGCGACTGCACCAGTTTTTTGTCTCCAGGAACTGAGAGCAATGATCCACTCAGCGATGAGGAAGGTTCTTCTCAGACCTCAAATGACTACGTCAACATGGCAGAGTTCAGTCTTGGGGCCATGCAGGAGCAGCAGCCATGGGTGTCTTTTCAGTGCTGCAGAGATTATGAAAATGTCCCACCAGCAGATCCCAACGGAAGCCAGCAGCAGGCAGAAGAAGTGACGTCCTCAAACACAAACCGTGTAGAGGGCAGGACAGATGGTCTAGGGACCCACGTACAACCTGTCATGCAGCCGGGAAGGTTTTTGGTTTTAGGGGATTATGTGATTTATCAGCCATCTGCACAGAGTGAGAATAGTCAAATGGAACATGGAGAAGAGATGTCAAATGGGGACTCTAATGATTATGACGTTGTGCTGGCTGCCAAGTTAGGAGGCGGGGACTCTGAGCAGGAACCAAACCCATGGCTCCTCCCTGATGAATTAAGGCCCACCTGCCCAGCTGGAAAGCCACAGGGACTAGCCTATCCTGCCAAATCCAAGTGAAGACCCTTGACCATCCTTGTATTTCAGTGGATTCGTTCAGTTAGGCTAAAAAGATGCTGAGTAGGGAGCTAAGAGGTTTATAAAAGCAGAGGTTTGGAAAAGCCAGAAAGAAATTATTTTCAAACAGGGTACCATTATCTCTCCTACCAACCTTAGAATGTTTCCTAAAACTGCCTTTTAGGACTCTTAGGAGATTAAAAATGAGAGAGTACTTTAGTGCACAGTAGAAATATAAAGTAGTCTAAAATCATTACCTTCACTAATACCAGCAGGGTGCAAAGCAAAAGTTGAGATTATTTTGTAATATGAGCAGGGGCCAACAGGAAGGAAGAAGTCCGAGGGGTTGGGGGACAGTTTCCACTTTGAAATGAGGATGGACCACCCAATGCTGGAGATGTGGAACAGCAGGAACCCTCAGTCGTTGCTGATGGGACTGCAAAGCATAGCATCCACGTTGGGAAACTATTTGGCAATTTCTTATAAATATACTACTTATACGGCCCAGCGATTCCATTAGGTATTTTCCCAAGTGAACTGAAAACTGTTCACACGAAAAACCATACATGACTGTTTATAGCAGCTTTACTCACATTTGCCCAAAACTAGAAATAACCCAGTGAATGGATAAACTGTGGTATATTTATACAATGAATATCCATCCTTAACAGTAAAAAGGAATGAACTATTGGGTCTTGCAACAACAGGGACAATCTTAAATGCATTTTTCTAAGTGAAAGAAGATGGACCTAAACATCTACCTATCATATGATTCCATTTATATGACATGGGAAAGGCAAAACTATAGGGATGGAAGACAGGAATCTTTAGGGTAAGAGAGCTGTTCTCTATGGTACTGTGATGGTGAATACATAACTCTATGTAATTTGTCAAAGTGCAAAAAAACTGTAGAGCATACAGAGTGACTTTTATTGCATGCAAATTTAAAAAATTAACCCGTCTGTCAGGGGGACCCATGACTGAATGCTCTTTGTGATAAATGAATGTAACTGTATTACAAATATATGGCATAATCTCACTAAAGAGAGTGGAAGGAGAAAGAGCTGACCTAATTAACTTTGGAAAACAATGTTTTTGCTTGAAACGGTAAGATAAAAACACAAAAAACTCTACAAAAACACTGCACTCTAGTTGGTAAATTTGCATTTCACAGGAGTGTAGGTTAGCAATTCTGAAACTACTTTAAGTGTATACTAAGGTTAAACAAATAATATAGATAAGGAGAGGCAGGTTTCTTACTATTGGAGAAAACAGTAACAAGTAAGTAGGAAAGGCTCCAATGAACTCTGTCATGCTGGATTAGAACTGGGGGTACAGTTTGAACTCATGTTTATTTAAATGTATATGAATAGATATAGAAATCAATAGAGATACGTGTGTATACATAAGCTAGTATTTATAAATTTCTTAGCTCCATCCACTACAGGGTCTAGATGTGCTGACACCTCAATAGCAGTGAACACACTGAGCACTCAGAGCTTGGTTTCTAAATATCATTCTTCAATTAAAGTAACCAGAGCTCCTTGGAGAAATGGCTATTTCTAGGGCTGGGGCAGAGAACACGCAGGTTGAGCTTGACCATCTTAGAAAAGAGAAGAAGAGAAGAGAAGGAGAAGGAGAAGGAGAAGGAGAAGGAGAAGGAGAAGGAGAAGGAGAAGGAGAAGGAGAAGGAGAAGGAGAAGAGAAGAGAAGAGAAGAGAAGAGAAGAGAAGAGAAGAGAAGAGAAGAGAAGAGAAGAGAAAAAAGAAAAGTAGAGAGGGTGAGGGGAAGAAAAGACAAGAAAAGATGAGGACATGTCCCAAGGAGCCAACTTGAAGGAACCCCCAAAGGCAAAGCTAGAACAGTTTGAGCAATAACAATAAGTAATTATAATACAAATTTATAACTCAAAGAATAAAATAAATATCCATAATTGACATTCATATTAATGGCCAAAAAAATCTTCTTTATAGATAAATTATAAATAATAAATGTATAAGAAATGAGGGGGGAAAAATCACCATTAAGGCACCACAGAATAACTGCTATGGGTAAGTCCAGGTGAATGTTAAAAGTAGTGGGTGACACTTTAGGAGAAATAAGATAGTTTCATAACCTCAAAGACTCTTCCCCAAAATATTCACTACTGTGATGATTTTAACACACATGTCTGCAAATTATTTTATATTCCCCCTGGAACTTAATTCCTGTCCCCTTCAACATTGGCTAGATTTAGTGACTGTTTTCTCAAAAATAGAATATGGAGTTGGGGGGAAAGAAATTTAGAGTGGAGAGATTTGGCAGACATCTTCTTGACCATGTGATCAAGGATAACTCACTGGTAATAAGTCATTTTGCTATATGACCGAAGAGAAGGATACTTCACCTGTCTGGTATTCTTCCCCAAAATCCACAACCACAGTCTTAGGAGAAAAAAATCAGAAAACCCAAATTATATGACATTATACAAAAACCAGAGCAGAGCTCTTAAAAGTGTTAAAAGTCGTGAAACACAAGGAAAGGCTGAGAAACTGTCAGATTGGCAGACACTAAGGATACATGATGAGTAAGTATGACATGGTCCCTTGATTTACATCCTGGCATAGAAAAAGGACATTAGCAAGGAAAAAATGGTAAAATTCAAAAAAGAAGTTATATTTTAGTTAATAGTAGTATGTTAATGTTTGCTTCTTAGTTTTGATAAATATACCGCGGTGTGGAAGATGTTAACATTAGGGGAAGGTGGGGGAAGGGTGTACTATCTTCTGTAAATGATTTCTAAATAATAATTTTAAAGCATGGATAAAACTGGGAGTAAAGACAAAAGGATCATCCCACTTAAATAAGTGTACCCGTCTTTCTTCTGCAAAATGCATGTACATAAAGCACGTGCTGGTGATAGTTCTGGGTGTTCGTTCTCTGGGTCGCTTTGTTAGCCTCGGTGTTCAGTCTCCTCCGTCAGGCTGCATCCTTGCGCCTGCTGCATCATTAAGTCAAACATATGTCGACTTCACTATATTTAAGTCCTTTGCATTCACCCTGGCACTGAGCACAGGATCAAGATAAAGGCGCTTATTGATCGTTGTTGATTGATGGGATTTCAGTGCACCTACTTACACCATAACACGTTGAGGGTTTTACTGTTGTCCAGGAATCAAGGCTAAGGTCTAAAGCTGAGTACTAAAGGTATAAAACACCCACGTTCTGAGGTCGGAGTGCCACCAGCAGTTACTGGTCAGCCCACCCCCTCAGGGCTTACTGAGAGGGGAAATTAGTCCTACCACATGCTGCTCTTCCTTGCGCTTTGTCCCTGCTTCATGGAGAGGACCGAGAGGTGACGGAGGCTGGCCTTCGAGAAGCATCCTGGTCGGGAAGGGGGGTTGTTTCCTCCTTCACTGCCCCATCTCCCCGGATGGTAACCCTCTCCTTCTGCAGAGCGCCTGCCGCCCCAGGAAGAGGAGGAAGAAGAGGGCACTGCCAGGACTGAGAGGGGGCCGCGAAGCAGCTGGCCACCCACTACTGGGCGTGGCAACGATGAGAGTGTCACCAGGGAAAGGCGGCTGGCCATGGGCCACCTTGTTGGCACCACCTCAACAAGGTGCCAGGCAAGGGCCTCTAACAAATCTTAGGTGGCTTCAACAAGCACTTGTTTGGGTGCTACTGACTGAACTTTTGTGTGCCCCCCAAGTTCATTATGCTGAAACCTAATTCAGAATGTGATGGTATTCAGAGGTGGGGCTTTGGGAGGTGATTAGGTCATGAGGGTGGAGCCCTCATGAATGGAGTTCGTGCCCTAATAAAAGAGACCTCAGAGAGCTCCCTTGCTCTTCCACATGTGGACACAGCCAGAAGACAGCTGTCTGTGAGTCAGGAAGTGGGCTCTCACCAGACACCAAATCTGATGGCACCTTGATCTTGGACTTTCCAGACTTCAGAACTCTAAGAAATAAATTTTTGGTGTTGAAGCAATCCAGTCTTTGGTGTTTTTTGTTACAGCAGCCTGAACAGACTAAAACAACGGGATAAAGGCAGATTATTCCAGGAGCCAGTTCCCCCACATTTCATGACTGTATTATGGGTAGATTTCTTCAGGGCTCTCAGATTCACCCCATAAGTGGCCAGCATTTAAATTCTTACCAAAGAGAAGACACTGTGCCAATCGCGGTGATGGCCAGGGAAACAACAATAAGCACGTAGGACGGCAACCCAGTCAGGTAAGGAGGAACTTGTATCAGATGTGAGAACAAAGATTTGGACAGGACTGAATCTCAAATATTGGCATGAGAGAATTCTCATAACCAAGAGGGGATGAAAACTTGTGGGATTAAAATAATTTGTTAAGAATGCTACCACCCAGCTGTAAAAAATAAGGATCTCTTACTCTTTGAGACAGCATGGAGAGACCTGGAGAGTATTATGCTAAGCAAAATAAGCCAAGTATCACATGACCTCACTCATATGTGGAATCTAAAGGACAAAATAAACTGATGAACAAAAGAGATCCAGAGACATAGAAGCAGGGAACAGACAGGGATCTCGGAGGGAAGGGGGGGGAGGGTGAGTGGGTGGGAAGAGAACCAAAGAACTTATATGCATAAATGCATAACCCATGGACACAGGCGACAGTGTGGTAAAGG